CTTCTGACCCACTGGAATTGTGATACAGTGAATTATAAGTGAAATAATCTGTCTGTAAACAATTGTTGGAAAAATTACTTGTGTCATGCACAAAGTAGATGTCCTAACCGACATGCCAAAACTAGTTTGTTAACAATAAATTTGTGGAGTGGTTGAAAAACTAGTTGTAATGACTCCAACCTAAGTGTATGTAAACTTCCGACTTCAACTGTATTCTTAAATTCCATTCCTTACTTAGATTTGTGTGTATTGGGTATATGTTGTGAAATTGTTTGATATTACTTGTTAGATATTACTGCACTGTCGGAGCTAGAAGCACAAGCATTTCGCTACACCCGCAATAACATCTGCTAAACACGTGTATGTAACAAATAAAATGTGATTTGATTTGATTTGGAAGGAGCGAGAAACTGCTTTGTTCCCTTCCTCCCTCCTCTCTCTCTCTCTCCCCCCTCCTCTCCCTCTCTCTCCCCAAAACCTGTTTTATTCCCATCAGCTCCAAGCCTCTTATCGGCCTCTTCCAGACGCATGGCGGGCAACAGCGAGATAATGAGTTGGCGAGATATTAGACTTCGATCACTTTGCCCCCTTATCGGCCCTGACACCAATCTCCTTGACTGACATTCCGCCCAATCTGTTATATACAGTGCCTTCAGAAATAATTCATACCACTTGACTTAATCCACATTTTGTTTTGTTTGTTTTGTGAATTCCAAATGGATTAAATATATATTTTTCTTACCCATCCACACACAATACCCCAAAATGACTAAGTGAAAACATGTTTTTAGAAATGTTTGCAAATGTATTGAAAATGAAATACAGAAATACTGTGTGTGTATTCACACCCCTGAGTCAATACATGTTAGAATCACCTTTGGCAGCGATTACAGCTCAGTCTTTCTGGGTAAGTCTCTAACAGCTTTCCACACCTGGATTGTACAATATTTTTCAAGCTCTGTCAAGTTGTTTTTCAAGTATTACCACATATTTTCAAGGTGATTTAAGTCAAAACTATACCTAGGCCACTCAGGAACATTCGATGTCGTCTTGGTAAGCAACTCCAGTGTGTATTTGGCCTTAAGTTTTAGGTTATTGTCCTGCTGAAAGGTGAATTTGTCTCCCACTGTCTGTTGGAAAGCAGACTGAACCAGGGTTTCTTCTAGAATTTTGCCTGTCCTTAGCTCTATTCCATTTCTCTTTATCATAAAAAAAAAACTCCCTAGTCCTTGCCGATGACAAGCATACCCATAACATGATGCAGCCACCACCATGCTTGAAAATATGAATAGTGGTGCTAAGTGATGTGTTGTGTTGGATTTGCCCCAAACATAAAACTTTGTGTTCAGGACATAAAGTTAATATCTTTGCCAAATTTTTGGCAGTTTTACTTTAGTGGAGTATTGTAAACAGGATGCATGTTTTGGAATATTATAATCTGTACAAGCTTCCTTCTCTTCACTCTGTCATTTAGGTTAGTATTGTGGAGTAACTACAATGTTGTTGATCCATCCTCAGTTTTCTCCTATCACAGCCATTAAACTCTGTAACTGTTTTAAAGTCACCATTGGCCTCATGGTGAAATCCATGAGCAGTTTCCTTCCTCTCCGGCAGCTGAGGAAGGACGCCTATATCTTTGTAGTGACTGGATGTATTGATACACCATCCAAAATGTAATTAATAACTTCACCATGCGTAAAGGGATATTCATTGTCTGCTTTTTTTTAATTGTTAACCATCTACCAATAAGTGCCCTTCTTTGTGAGGCATTGGAAAATGTCTCTGGTCTTTGTGGTTGAATCTGTGACCTTACAGATAATTGTGTGTGGGGTAGAGAGATGAGGTAGTCATTCAAAACTCATGTTAAACACTATAATTACACACAGAGTGCAACTTATTATGTGACTTGTTAAGCAAATGTTTACTCCTGAACTTATTCAGGCTTGCCATAACAAAGGGGTTGAATACTTATTGACTAAAGACATTTCAGCTTTTCATTTATTAATTTGTACAAATGTCTAAAAACATAATTCCACTTTGACATTATGGGGTATTCTGTGTAGGCCAGTGACACAAAATCGACATTTAATCAATGTTAAATTCAGGCTGTAACACAACACAAAATATGTAAAAAGTCAAGGGGTGTGAATACTTTCTGAAGGCACTGTATACCCACAGAGCACGGTAACAGTGGAAGAAAGGAGATGAAGAATGAAAGATAGGAGAAGATGGAGAGAAAAAAAATTAGAAGATTTAGATTTTTTTCTCTTTGTGTTTTTACAAATAATTTATTTAATTAAAATCTGAGCTTCTTTGCTAAGAAAGGGAGAAGGGAGATAATGGGGATTGTTTTTTAAATGGCTGAAAATCATTACCCTGCCTGAATGCTGAGGTGTGATGTGACTGAAGATCGTTAGCCTGGGGTTTGAAATAACCCATGAGCATAAAGAAATATTGACACCGTAATCCTCATCAGCACAATGTTAACCTTGGTTCTGCCCACCATTTCAGAGCATCCCCAAGAGTAAATATGCATGTGTGTGTGTGTGTGTCAGTGGCGTGTATTCATGGATGCCAAGGGAAGCCAGGCTTCCCCAAAACATTTACCAAGGGGGGGAAAAGTATTTAGTCTCTCTGTGTTTCATAAATGTCCTTCAATTCACAAGAGGCTGAATGTATCTCACCAGAGAAAGTTTCCGAGCGACCGAACAAAACAGTGCCCCTCTGTCTCAGTATGTGCAGCCCATCTATATGATGCTGTCTGGACAAAAAGAGTATGACATTGTTGCCGCCTGTAGCATTGAATGCAAGAGAAGCCAGCTAGCATTTGGCCTCCGTTTGTGACGAGTACTGAGTATACGAAGAGGCAGGACGCAGACGCAGGAATTAACAAGGTAAAGGTTTACTTAACAATGAGAAAGAGAATAACAAAGAGCGAGTAAACGACACGAAGCTAACAATTACACACAACAATGAATGAACAGTCCAGGGCTATATAGTGGTGGTGATGAGATGAGGTGCAGGTGCGCTGGAGGTGATTAGGGTGCGTTGGGTTTCCATTCCTGTGTTTGCCGAGGTGGTGCACTCAGACCCGTGGCTCAGTAGACCGACGAATCAGAGCGCCGGAGGGGAGCAACGGGAGAAGACATGACACCATTGATTTAAATATCTAAAATAATAGCCAATTAGCATTCAGCTAAACTGAGCGAGCTCAGCTGTGAATGGTCCTGGTGCACCAAAAAAAGTGTGAAGGGAAACCAGTTTGGATTTTGCTTCTGTTGATAAAACAAGTTTACTGGAGAACGGAGACCAAGTAGAGACTTTTGGACAAGGTGGATAATTGTATAATATAAGGCAGTTTATTCAGAGGTAAAGATATCTGGAATAGCGTGCACGGACCCGTTCGTCAATCTCGTAGGGAGATATCTGAGAGAGCCCCCTAAACATTGTGTGCTGACATTTTATACAATAAAATGAAGTAGGTTGATTCTAGTAGTTCTGATCTTCTGATTGGTCCTGATGAGTTGGGCGAGGTCACCTCCAGGCTAGTGTCACTGTTGCATTGGCTCTGAGTCGGGTTCTCTGTCTTCAGATGTTCAGCCTAAGAGAAGGGGATTTTTGTGTGTGTGTGTGCGTGTGTGTGTTTAACAATGATGATGTGTGTGTGTGTGTGTGTGCGTGTGTGTGTTTAACAATGATGATGTGTGTGTGTGTGTGTGTGTGTGTGTGTATGTGTGTGTGTGTGTGAGTGTGTGTATGTGTGTGTGTGTGTGTGTGTGTGTGTGTATGTGTGTGTATGTGTGTGTGTGTGTGTGTGTGTGTATGTGTGTGTGTGTGTGGGGGTGTGTGTGTGTGTGTCCTCAGAGCAAGAACTCGTGAGTTGGAAGAACTGAGAGACCTATGGCGTGGGTGTTGTCCTTAGCCACCTGCTGATAAGGCTGACAAGATAGAAGTCTTTTGTGCATTGTATTAAATACAAAGGCCCAACACAAGATGGGTCATGCACAAGATTTTAGTCAGACCAAGCTATAACATTATATATTTACTACGACACTTCACACCAATCACATCACATCAGATGCCAAACATGACAGAAAAAACGTGAAAATGATGCATCTCGTTGTGTTGTTGTCCTCTGGTGGCTAGCTAGCTAGCTAAAATCAGCCCTTTCCTAAATTAGCCATGGATGGAGATAGGGATTTGGACTTCTGGTTTTACTTAATTCTCCATACTGGCCAATGATTATAACGGTGATTCTGATCCAACCATAAATTCATAGATTGTGCCCCTGGCCTGAGAGGATGGAAGTTCAACATGTAGCTAGATGTAGTAGGCTAACGTTAACTAGATAACGTTGCCCAGAAAGGAAGTTAGGCTAGCAAGCAAACATTTTAGCCAGGTAGCCTAGGACAACAAAAACTAAAAGCATGTACTGTATGACAGAGTCCAAACAGCAGAGGTTCCCACAGGTAATTTCCACTACTGAGGACCACTCCCTTTTCGAATCTGAAGGCTCCTAAAATGCACCCACCCCTGAATGTAGCAATATCATAGGCTGTTGCTGGTTGCTAGGGGCGTTTATTTCCGGTATTGCAGCTGCTGGAATTTCAGGGCAGAATTCATTTCGGCACAACGTTTGCTACGTTGCGTGACGGTTTGCACTGATCGACACGTTTCCCTAAAACGGTGCACAGTGTTTTTCAACATCCTTTGAGGTACGTTTCCTCCGGTTTGGTGGATGTGGCGAGGTGTGTTCCTGATCAATATGGTAATATCCATGTGAAATCGCAGAAGTCGCTCAGTACAGTAACTTCAGGACTAGGCTTCCGTTTAATCAAACGTTCTGTCGTTCTGAACGCACCCCTGGTTCCTCGTTGTGGGTTTTTGGGTGGGTTTTGCTAACGCTTAACCCAGACTGGCACAAAACCATACCCGAGTTCCCAATTCTGTGCTAGGTAGCTACATGCAAGTTACTGTAGGGTCCGCAGTCTAAGGCAAGCATGACCGAAAGCTCCGCGAACAAGCCGGCGAATGGAGAAGTTTTTCACCGAGCGAAGAACGGCCTTAAACCGGGAAGAAACGGCTTCGTAAAAAATCATCATCATTATTACCATCATCAGCAGCCGAAGTACTGCTATCCCGAGGACAAGGTAAGCCCTAGCGCACGGTAGGGATGGATGGATGGTGGGGAAGTGGCGAGGCGCAAAACACCAAGCTGCAAATCAATATTGTTAGCTATGTGTATTTAACTTGATATGTTTTTAAACTGTAGCTAACCTATTTTTATGGTTAGCTTTACTGACATCGATTTGAATTTGCTCAACAGTCTGTTAGCTCAGCAAGATGTTAGACATTTGACAGTTGTTGGCCACTTTGCAAAAACGTTGTCTAGGTAAAGTTACTGTAGAGTTGGTTAGCTAGCTATTCTTTGTAATAATGTTTCTAGTGTTATGTAACGTTATATCCCACGAGTGTTAGCTAATAATATCTGCAGAAGTCAGCTTGCTGCTTTTCTAGGCTTTTATCTTATACAAACAATATGCAACATACTAGCTAGCTAGCTACAATGTCGACAATAATTTTAGTCATCACTGATGTCATCAGTGTTTTCTAGAAAATGTTGAGTGTGTGCCTGTGGCAGTCAAACAGCAGTGTCGAGAAGTCAGTTAGTGAGAAATATCCTTAACTGGGTCTTAGTTTGGAAAGGTAAAATATTTTCCTGTGTTTCTCTTTTTGTAGGAGAGACAATGAAAGCTGCATAATCTTTCAAGAAACAAGTCTGAAAATGGTGCGTGTGTCTGTGTGTACACTTGGAAATACACCTGTACTCCCCGACTTCCCAGCACTGTTAGGCTAATTAATTTTCTACCCCTGCCTGGATCCATACTTAATTTTAATTAGTGTGTTGCGAATTCGTTAACATCTCTTTGAGTCAACAACAATTATATATCCTAAGAGGGCTCTCAATGAAAATTAAGAAGCATATCAACGTCTTTCCCTATTGGTAGAACCATAGAAATATAATCTATAAATACAAAATAAATATTATTTCTATGGGTAGAGCATTGCATTGGAAGTTAAACCCTGATCCATGTAGTGCTGTCTTGCCAACTAGGTTATGACATAATAATAATACTAATAATACTAATAATACTAATAATACTACTAATAATACTACTAATAATACTACTACTAATAATAATAATACTACTAATAATAATACTAATAATAATAATAATAATAATATGCCATTTGGCAGACGCTGTTATCCAAAGCGATTTACAGTCATGCGTGCATACATTTGGGTGGCCCCAGTGGGAATCGAACCTCCGTCCTTTGGCGTTGCAAGCGCCATGCTCAACCGACTGTGGTCCTATAGGTAGAGCCATAGAAATATCATCTATTTGTTTAATTTATTTATAGATTCTATTTCTATGGGTTGAGCATTGCATTGGAAGTTAATCCCTGAATCCCAGGTCAGTTTAGCACAAACAGGTCTTGGATACAGGCTATGAATCAATGATTTGCTGTAACTGTTGATATGCCTCTTTGCTGTAGCTTTACTAGCTAGTCCTCTCTGCCTTTTCCCAGGCATTTCATAAGGCAGAGGGAGGGAGGAGAATGCATGGTCTGGTAATTGACTCCAAGCTGATTGTAGTGCAGGGGGAAGTCACCATCTCTAGCCTCTGAGGTATGTGAGAGAGGGGTATGACTAGTCACATGTGGTTACACAGCAGTGTGTATTGCTTTGAGCTACTGGCTTGATGTTTCACGGGAAAGACTCAATGGCCACGGAATAGAGCTAAGCACAGGCAAAATCCTAGAGGAAGACCTGGTTCAGTCTGCTTTCCAACAGACACTGAGAGACAAGTTCACCTTTCAGCAGGACATTAACCTAAAACACAAGGTCAAATGTACACTAGAGTTGCTTACCAAGACAACGTTGAATGTTCCCGAGTGGCCTAGTTACCGTTTTGACATAAATTGGCTTGAAAATCTATGGCAAGACTTAAACTGCTGTCTAGCAATGATCAACAACCAACTTGAAGAATTTAAAAAAGAATAATGTGCAAATAGTGCACAATCCAGGTGTGCAAAGCTCTTAGAGACTACCCAGAAAGACTCACAGCTGTAATCTCTGCCAAAGGTACGTCTACAGAGTAGTGACTCAGGGGTGTGAATACTTAATGAGATATTTCTATATTTAATATTCATTAAATTTTCAACAATTTCAAAAAAAAAAAATTGTTTTCACTTTGTTATTATGGGGTATTGTGTGTAAATGGGTAAAATAAAATCTTGTTAATCCATTTTGAATTCATTCTAACACAACAAAATGTGGAATAAGTCAAGGGTTATGAATACTTTCAGAAGTATTGCACTGTGTGTAGTGTCCACATCTCTCTCACATATTTAATTAGCCTAGGCCTACTGACCAGACAAGAGATGGATAGCCTAAAGGCAGACTAGTGCTGTCTTTAAGGGCCGGTTTCCCACACTCAGTTTCAGCCTAGTCCTGAACTAAAAAGTGTGCGATAATGGGGAATCTCAAATGAAATAGCTTTTAGTTCAGGACCTTGGCTTAATCTGTGTCTGGGAAACCGGCCTTAATAGTTAGACCTAGTCATGTTCGGATGTAGACGGTTGTATAGTCAATGCTGGTTTTTGTTTATAAAAAAAAAGGAGCATAGCAGAATGCAGGTGGTAGATCATTGACAGCATTTCGTTGTTTGATTTAAGTGTGTTGGCTTGGAGTGTGGTATCTGCTAGGAGAGTGCTCAGATTCACATGCTCTGTCCTGGAGCCTCCCCTATCTTTATTTGACTCATAAATCTAATAGCCAGAACAACAGTGCTTGACATATGGAGTAAAAACATAGCTAACCTATAGTATTCCTCTGTAGGTATTTTTGAATACTTGACATCCTTTTCACACAGTACTAACACTGTAGTAACATTCACTGACCAGATAGGCTAGTCACCACTATTGAACTAGGATTCTGCTCTGTGATGTTATGGAATAGGCCTCTGTGTATGTGTGAACATATTTAGCACGCTGCAAGACAAGTATTCCGATCACGTCATTCAGTTCCCTTTATTTTTTACTATTTTCTACATTGTAGAATAATGGTGAAGACATCAAAACTATGAAATAACACATATGGAATCATGTAGTAACCACAAAAGTGTTAAACAAATCAAAATGTATTTTATATTTGAGACTCTTCAAATAGCCACCCTTTGCCTTGATGACAGCTTTGCACACTATTTCATAGTTTTGATGTCTTCACTATTATTCTACAATGTAGAAAATAGTAAAAATAAAGAAAAACCCTTGAATGAGTAGGTGTTCTAAAACTTTTGACTGGTAGTGTAAATCAACGTCTTGCCCTATTGGTAGAACCATATAAATAGTATCTATAAATAAAGCAATAAAATAAATAAAAAATAAATATGATTTCTATGGGTAGAGTATTGCATTGGTTACACACACACACACACACACACACACACAGTCACGATCGTTGAGAGACGGGTCGGACCAAGGTGCAGCGTGAAAAGCGTACATGTTTATTAACTAAATAAACATACAACAAAACAAGAAACAACGTAACGTGAAGTCCTCCGGCTATACACACACAAGCCTAAACGGAACAAGATCCCACAATACACAGCAGGCAATGGGCTACCTAAGTATGATCCCCAATCAGAGACAACGGGCTACCTAAGTATGATCCCCAATCAGAGACAATGAGCGACAGCTGCCTCTGATTGGGAATCACACCCGGCCAGACGTAGAAATAGACTAACTAGAACCTAAACATAGAATATATAACATAGATAGCCACACCTTGACTCAACAAACGAGTTCTATAGGTCAGGGCATGACATACACACACTTTTTCACTCAACACATACGCTCCTGCTAATGTCTATTATCTATCCTGTTGCCTAGTCACTTTATCCCTACTGTAGGTATCTACCTCTTTGGCATCAACTCAACTCGCCGTGTTTGGAGGAGGAGGAATGCTGCCTATGACCCCAAGAACACCATCCCCACCGTCAAACATGGAGGTGGAAACATTATGCTTTGGGGGTGTTTTTCTGCTAAAGGGGACAGGACAACTTCACCGCATCAAAGGGACGATGGACGGGGCCATGTACCGTCAAATCTTGGGTGAGAACCTCCCCTCAGCCAGGGCATTGAAAATAGGTCGTGGATGGGTATTCCAGCATGACAATGACCCAAAACACACGGCCAATGCAACAAAGGAGTGGCTCAAGAAGATGCACATTAAGGTCCTGGAGTGGCCTAGCCAGTCTCCAGACCTTAATCCCATAGAAAATCTGTGGAGGGAGCTGAAGGTTCGAGTTGCCAAACGTCAGCCTCGAAACCTTAATGACTTGGAGAAGATCTGCAAAGAGGAGTGGGACAAAATCCCTCCTGAGACGTGTGCAAACCTGGTGGCCAACTACAAGAAACGTCTGACCTCTGTGATTGCCAACAAGGGTTTTGCCACCAAGTACTAAGTTATGTTTTGCAGAGGGGTCAAATACTTATTTCCCTCATTAAAATGCAAATCAATTTATAACATTTTTGACATGTGTTTTTCTGGATTTTCTTGTTGTTATTCTGTCTCTCTCTGTTCAAATAAACCTACCATTAAAATTATAGACTGATCATGTCTTTGTCAGTGGGCAAACGTACAAAATCAGCAGGGGATCAAATACTTTTTTCCCTCACTGTATGTATGTATGTATATCTGTTTATGTTGACATCAAATCAATCAAATCAAATCCAAGTTAATTTGTCACGTGTACAGGATACAGCAGGTGTAAACGGTACAGTGAAATGCATACTTGCTCTTCCTCAACTGTGCAGTAATACTAAGTCAGATAAACCCCTCAGGGATTAATAAAGTTTATTGAATTGAATTGACAATTCCTCCGCCCCCCCAGGTGCAGCACACATCGTATAATGGCAGCAGCGGCCTGGGCCTGGGCCTGGGCCTGGGCAGCTGTCACTTCAACGAGTCGTTTGAGGAGACTCCCTTGCTGGTGGCGGTGCTCACCTACTTTGGCTATGGCATCCTCACCATCTTCGGTTACCTCCGAGACTTCCTCCGGAACTGGAAGATCGAGAGGTGTCACATCGCTTGCGAGAGGGAGGAGCAGAGGGTAGGACTAGATAGCCACCTCACCAGTCTGTCTGAAAAACCTTCTTCATTCTCATCACTATCATTTTCATCAACATCATCATTCTTTAAAATGATTCCCCCGAAAAGAAAGTTCACCCCAAAAATCTAAGTAGTCAGATGATTTCATATTTCAAAAGTGGTATTTTGTTTATTTGTTCGACTTATTTGTTAATTTTACTTTAGACCACTTTTTAGGTATTAAAATGAGGTTACTTGCCTCATTGGAATTGTACTTTCGGAAGCATTCACAATAACACATACACCCATTTATTCTGGCTCTGTAGTCCAATTTCCAGTAGGATAAAAACAACAACATTTTTTTATATATATATAAAAAAAAAAAAAACACTCAATGGAATGTTTGTGAAAAAGGAAGGAAAGCCTTAGCCAGTCAAAACCACAGGTCATTCGGTGTAACACAACAGTAAATCATTGTGACATACAGTAGTATGGAGAAGGCAGTTGTGTTCTCCTGGACTACACAGACCTTCACTCACACACTGCGAGTAAAACAACAGTTTTCAGGACATTGTTTTGGCACTGGGTCACCTCTAGAGGAGGAAACTGTATCGCCTGAAGGATATCCTACTCTCGCTGCCTCACAGACTCACTTCACCGTCGGGTTTGAAGGAAGTGAAAAACGCTTTCAAGGAAATAAGCTGAATGCCTGTGGGGCTTTTTTCAGTCATGTGTAAACTAAAGCTAACCTCTGCAAATATGGAGAGATTAGACTCTAACATGTACATGTTAGACTGTTCTTTGTATGCTTAGTGTAATAATGGATGAATGGGCCATAGTACTGAACATGCCTGACGTGATGCTGAGGTAAACGCTCCCTTAACATGTTACATAATAACATGGAGCAGTATGTGAGTGGTCGAAACCAGGAAATGGGAATATTACTAATTTTAATCTCCCTCTTTCCCTCTCCCTCTCTCCCTCTCTTCCTCTCCCTCTCTTCCCCTCTCCCTCTCTCCCTTTCTCCCTTTCTCCCCCTCTCCCTCCCCCCTCTCCCTCTCCATCTCCATCTCTCCCTTTCTCCCCCTCTCCCTCTCCCTCTCTCCCTTTCTCCCCCTCTCCCTCCCCCTCTCTTCCTCTCTCCCTCTCCCTCTCTCGCTCTCTCCCTCTCTCCCTCTTCCTCCCTCTCTCCCTCTTCCTCCCCCCTCTCTCCCTCTCTCCCTCTTCCTCTATCTCCCTCTCTCCCTCTCTTCCTCTTCCTCCCTCTCTCCCTCTCCCTCTCTCCCTCTTTCCCTCTCTCCCTCTCTCCCTCTCGCTCTCTCTCTCTCCCTCTACCTCTTTCCCTCTCTCTCTATCCCTCTAGGACTTTGTCCCACTTTACCAGGACTTTGAGAACTTTTACACCAGGAACTTATACATGCGGATCCGTGACAGTTGGAACCGGCCCATCTGCAGTGTCCCGGGGGCTAAGGTGGACCTGGTGGAACGTGTGTCACACGATTACAACTGGACCTTTGAGTGAGTGTCACAGTCACAAGATGCATCCCAAATGGCACCCTATTCCCTATGTAGTGCAGTACTATGGCCCTGGTAAAATAATAGGGTGCCGTTTTGGGATGTAGCCACAGAGTTGGTAGTAGAAGACCCCGACCACTGATCTAGGGTCAGATGGGAACATAAGCCCTCTAATGGTTATGGTTAGGATTCAGAGTCGAGTAAACTAGTCTTATACATGGTTAGAGAAGGCATCTTCAAATCAATGTTTATTAGTCACATGATTTGTAAACAACAGGTGTGGACTAACAGTGGAATGCTTACTGACGGGTCGTTCCCAGCAACGCAGAGAGAAACAGAGAAATAATAGAAAAGTAATGACTCGTAAGGGATGGGCCTCTCCAAGCCTGAAGGGCTGCAGTGCGGGCAGGGTTTTGTTCCAGACAAGCAAAAATACACCAGATTAGGCCTAAATAATAAACTAATCATGGCCTTCAATTTGCACCACGATTATGTAATATGTATAAAACATTTCTGAATATGTTACAGTATATAAACAGGGTGTCCAATAAAGTGTTAAAAGGATAGTTCTGGATTTTGGAAGTTAAGAGGTTGTTTCACGAGCCAACGCTAACTAGCTTAGTGCAAATACTGGTAGTCTTTGGGTGCAGCTAATGCTAGTTAGCATTGGCTCACGGAACTACCTCTAAAGGGCATCCCGAACGATCCCTTTAACATGAGTTTAATCAGGTGCGGTAGAGCTGTATTTGTAACAAAAGCCTGATTTACACACACTGCCTCCTTCCTCTGCCATGCCTTAGTGTCACCCCCGGGCAGCACTGGTAATTACTGCCCCTGAAAGAGCCTGTCTGTGTTGTGCTAAGATAACGATAACACACTAATCTACAGCATATGTTAGAAAAGCGACAGAGTTCCTTGAAGTGAAGGTTGTGTTAAAAGCCTTGGGCGGGATGGAGAGGGGGAGAGAGAGGACATAGAGGTTGGTAGTTACTCAGCCCTCTAACCACAAGGCCTGATGTTCTGACTGACAATCTTGCCATGATTTGTTGCGTTACTGAAAAGGAGATCTAAACTGAAAGTCTCCTTTTTTGACACTGTATTCTGGTTTGGTGCTGTGTGCAGGCCTCTAAAGTGAGATCAATACATTTTTTTCAATGCGACACAATATTTTGCCAGAACACTCTTTTCTACACTGCTCAAACAAGAGAAGCTGAAGCCCCGTCCCCTGTCGCTCTCAGCACTCAACAGATTCTTCCAAGCAACGATAGGCTACTGTTTTCCACGTTGCTTCTAAATATAAATCCACATGTTGTCTCTATTATAATAATAGTTTGTGTGTCTTGCTTTTTGCAAAATGTGAGTTAGTTAGTGTAAGGAATCTGGCAATGTGCCTAAAGCTAATCGCTAACCTCCCCCCCACCCCCCACCGATAAAGCTTTGCGCTCCTATTTTTTGTATTTGTTGACGGTAGGTGCACTTGATTCAGCAGCCCTAGCGCCCGGGAAGGAAAAGTGTTCCCATTTTAAAACAATTTCATGTGTCTGAAGGTACAACTCCGCCTACCCGGGAGGCCCAGAGTGCAAATCAAGTGCACCTATAGGCCTGCCGCTGGCCAATCAGATAGCTCAGATCACCGTGTCTGCACAGTTTCCTCACGCCGTAGACTGTAAAAAGAAGCCTCGAACGCACAGCAAAGTTGATAATGTCAGATTTCAAAAATGGTAAAAACCATGACTAGAGAGAGACTCAATGAATACAGCAAAGATCTGCTGTTATTATGAGTAAGTTCCTGTTTAAGTTCTTATTCAGCACTGTCAACACTTTGTTCAACACTTTTATGAGCCATAAAATGCACATTTCGATAAGCTTGCATTGTTATTATTAGCGGTTTGTGTCTTGTTTACTATCAAGGAATATTTCACTTTCTCTGGTCATAAGAGTAACAACATGAATTGGTGCATGAGGCAGAGATAATGCGGTGCAACTTCAGTTTTACCATCAGCTGGAAGACTGTGTCCCCTTTTCACAGCGGAGGGAGGGAGAACGGAGGGACAGCGGAGGGAGGGATAACGGAGGGACAGCGGAGGGAGGGAGAACGGAGGGACAGTGGAGGGAGGGAGAACGGAGGGACAGCGGAGGGAGGGAGAACGGAGGGACAGCGGAGGGAGGGAGAACGGAGGGACAGTGGAGGGAGGGAGAACGGAGGGACGGTGGAGGGAGGGAGAACGGAGGGACAGTGGAGGGAGGGAGAACGGAGGGACAGTGGAGGGAGGGAGAACGGAGGGACAGTGGAGGGAGGGAGAACGGAGGGACAGTGGAGGGAGGGAGAACGGAGGGACAGTGGAGGGAGGGAGAACGGAGGGACAGTGGAGGGAGGGAGAACGGAGGGACAGCGGAGGGAGGGAGAACGGAGGGACAGTGGAGGGAGGGAGAACGGAGGGACAGCGGAGGGAGGGAGAACGGAGGGACAGTGGAGGGAGGGAGAACGGAGGGACAGTGGAGGGAGGGAGAACGGAGGGACGGTGAGTCGGGTGAGAGGCAGCCTCACTGCTGCTCCCTCCCTCCCCTCAGACTGCTGCTCCCTCCCTCCCCTCAGACTGCTGCTCCCTCCCTCCCCTCAGACGCTGCTCCCTCCCTCCCCTCAGACTGCTGCTCCCTCCCTCCCCTCAGACTGCTGCTCCCTCCCTCCCCTCAGACTGCTGCTCCCTTCCTCCCCTCAGACTGCTGCTCCCTCCCTCCCCTCAGACTGCTGCTCCCTTCCTCCCCTCAGACTGCTGCTCCCTCCCTCCCCTCAGACTGCTGCTCCCTCCCTCCCCTCAGACTGCTGCTCCCTCCCTCCCCTCAGACTGCTGCTCCCTCCCTCCCCTCAGACCTGCTGCTCCCTCCCTCCCCTCAGACTGCCTGCTGCCCTCCCTCCCCTCAGACTGCTGCTCCCTCCCTCCCCCCTCAGACTGCTGCTCCCTCCCTCCCCTCAGACTGCTGCTCCTCCTCCCTCAGACGCTGCTCCCTCCTCCCTAGACTGCTGCTCCCTCCCTCCCCTCAGACTGCTGCTCCCTCCCTCCCCTCAGACTGCTGCTCCCTCCCTCCCCTCAGACTGACCATGAGTCCAGCCTACTGCACAAGCCTCATTGCTACAGAACTGTTTTTAATTGGTTAATGTTGCATAGGCTTACGTTTTTTAAATAATGTTTTTAAATAAATACGAGCGGTAGATCTCAGCTTGCATTTTGACTCAGAATAGGTTGGTGACCACTGATCTACACTGATTTGAAGTGGATTTAACAAGTGACATCAATAAGGGATCATAGCTTTCATCTGGATTCACCTGGTCAGTCTATGTCATGGAAAGAGCAGGTGTTCTTAATGTTTTGTGCACTCAGTGTATATCGCAAGTCAAATCGCAATATTTTGTTGAAAGATTGCAATTCGATTTTCTGCCCATAGCGCGCTAACAACCAGGTAACTTTATCATCATGCAAACATTTGGTGGTACAGAAAGAAAGGAAAAATTATATATTATTCAGGAGATGTGCTTTAAAAGCAAGTATGATTCGTATAGGTCCAATGTAGGCTATATCTCAATCAATTTAAAACAACTTTTTTTCTGGTGCTCCTACATTTTATGTGGTACTTCTAACGTTTTAAAGTTAGGAGCACCAGTGCTACCAATAAAACATGTTAAAGGGATACTTGGGGATTTTGGCAATGAAGCCCTTTATCTACTTCCCCAGAGTCAGATGAACTCGTGGATGCCATTTTGAATGTCTCTGCATAACTAGCGTAATAGCTAACTAGCGTAATAGCTAACTAGCGTAATAGCTAACTAGCGTCATTGCGCTAACGAAACTACCTCTAACTTCCTTCATACTGGACACAGAGACATAGAAATGGTATCCACGAGTTCATCTAACTCTGGGGAAGTAGATAAATTGCCAAACTCCTGAAGTATCCCTTTAATATAGAGCCCTGAGCGTGTGTGTTTGTTTGTCACAGGAGGCTGCTGAGGCAGCTGGAGTAATGATCATAATAACGTCTGTAAAGGAGTGAATAGAATGACATTAAACATGTTCGATGTATTTGATTCCATTCCACTCATTCCGGTTCAGCCATAACCACGAGCCCGTCATCCCCAATTAAGTGGTAGGAGGTGTGATCAACATGGGGTTCCTATAACTACCTGTAACTCTCTCTCTCTCTCTCTCAGCTATACAGGCAGAGTGGTAGGAGGTGTGATCAACATGGGTTCCTATAACTACCTGGGCTTTGCTGAGAACACTGGTTACTGTGCCACTGCCGCCGCAGAGGTTACCATGAAGTACGGGGTGGGGATAGCCAGCACCAGGCAGGAGATGGGTACGGCATGGTCGCACGCACGCGCGCGCGCACGCACGCACGCACGCACGCACGCACGCACGCACGCACGCACGCACGCACGCACGCACGCACACACACACACACACACACACACACACACACACACACACACACACACACACACACACACACACACACACACACACACACACACACACACACACACACACACACACACACACACACACACACACACACACTGCACCTAATAGATGTTTGTTTATATTAACTTATTGATATTAAGTCAACATATACAGTATCTCGAGGAATGTATTTGTTTGTTTTGAGTTTAGTAATCCATCTCTGAAATGAAATCTTTGCCACACCCTCGGGCCTGATAACTCACAATCTTGGTAGGTAGTGTAGATGAACACAGAGGCTGAGTCTCAGCCCTAAGCTGTATCACACAACTGTCTAACATTAATAACACACTTAATCATTTGAATCGTATCAGAAGGAGGTATGTGTCTATGGGAGTTTTGATGTATCTCCTAAATTCCCTTAGGTAACTTAGACAGACATGAGGAGATGGAGAAGCTGGTTGCTAAGTTCCTGGGTGTGGAGTCGGCCATGGCGTTCGGGATGGGCTTCGCTACCAACTCCATGAACATTCCTGCCCTCTCTGGCAAGGTAGGAGGACATGCTACATTACCGAACACCAAGGGTTCTCAGTCTTTCACTATGTTCTAGCCCCTGGTTCACTATTTCTGGTTCAGTCTCCTAGCATCTCTCTCTCTATCCCCTCTCTCTCTCTCTCACTCTCACTCTCTCTCTCTCTTTCTCTCTCTCTCTCTCTCCTCTCCTCTCTCTCTCCTCTCTCTCTCTCAATCTCTCTCTCTCTCCTATCTCTCTCTCTCTCCTCTCTCTCTCTCTCTCTCTTCTCCTCTCTCTCCACTCTGTCTCTCTTTCTCCCCTCTCTCTTGCTCTCCCTCTCCCCTCTCAATTCAATTCTGTAGACTTTATTGACATGGCAAGTTAAATTAAGTACAGTGTCAAAGTACACATAACAACAGTGGTTGGACCAACACCACTAATAATAGTAGTAGTAGAAGTAGTAGTGGAAATTGTATTACCATTAACAGCAACTACAACAACAATATGAATTGATAATAATAATAAATAAAAGCTATAGTAGTAGGCCATTCTCAACATGACTGAAAAGCAACATGGCATGAAATGAAATCCAATAAATATATATATATATATATAGGACTGACGAGTTGTGCGTTCCGAGATACCGTCCTGCTCACCACTGTTGTACTGCTCTGTTATTTGCCTGTTTGTGGGCCGCCTGTTAGCTTGCACGATTCATCCCGTTCTCCTTCGACCTCTCTCATCAATTAGCTGTTTTCGCCCACAGGACTGCTGCTGACTGGATGTTTTTTGTTTGTCGCACCATTCTCGGTAAACCCTAGACGCTGTCGTGCTTGAAAAGCCCAGGAGGACGGCCATTTCTGAGATACTGGATCCGGTCCGCCTGGCACTAACAGTCATACCACGCTCAAAGTCGCTTAAGTCACTCGTTTTGCCCATTCTAACGTTCAGTCGAACAGTAACTGAATGCCTCGATGCCTGTCTGCTTACTTTATATAGCAAACCACGGCCACGTGACTCACTGTCTGTAGGGAACCATTTTCGTGAACGGGGTGGTGTACCTTTTTGCTTTGTGATAATGTGGTTGGGCTAGATGTTCTGAGTGCTGTCCTGAGGCTCTATGGCAGGGCTATTCAACTATATTCTAACACATTAGGTGTGTTTTTTGTCCCACTCCATTCTAAAGAGTCCTTCAGAGTATCAGAGAATGAAACAGAAGGCAGGTGTTCCTGAGAGTCATGGCTTTCAGGAATGGGGTCATAATATTTTGTAGCTTAAACTGTTCAAACGCTAGAGGCAAATTCTTATGAATAAATAATATTCAACATGCCACATTGCTAAAAACCGCTAGAAACCTTTTCACCCAGCAGAAACCACACTATCGACCAGGGTTTTCCAAACCTTTTCACCCAGCAGAAACCACACTATAGACCAGGGTTTTCCAAACCTTTTCACCCAGCAGAAACCACACTATCGACCAGGGTTTTCCAAACCTTTTCACCCAGCAGAAACCACACTATAGACCAGGGTTTTCCAAACCTTTTCACCCAGCAGAAACCACACTATCGACCAGGGTTTTCCAAACCTTTTCACCCAGCAGAAACCACACTATCGACCAGGGTTTTCCAAACCTTTTCACCCAGCAGAAACCACACTATAGACCAGGGTTTTCCAAACCTTTTCACCCAGCAGAAACCACACTATCGACCAGGGTTTTCCAAACCTTTTCACCCAGCAGAAACCACACTATAGACCAGGGTTTTCCAAACTTTTTCACCCAGGTCCCCTTCCAGCAATCGGGAACATCTTGCGCTCACCATGTCTTTTTTTTTATGGGCACAAGCACTGTTCATGACACAAACTGTTCACACCCCTCTTGTTGGTGGAGAGAACATTGTACAGGTTTAAAGCTTATTTCCTTAAATTCTACACATGTTGTCATGGGGTGCAGAGAACATTGAGCAGTTTTAAAGCTAATTGTATTGCGATTATATTGTTTAATCTCTTGACATTGTAGGGCTGTGTGATGAAATATTATGGGGTCGCTTGTTTTTAGGTGGTTGTAAAATTTGATGGGGGATCTAATTATTTTTCTTTGCACTCTGCATGCAGTATTTTAATTGGATGTTTGGCCCATTTGGTAAATTCATTATTAGAGAGCGGACCCCACACTTCACTGCGATATAGAGAATTAGTTCTATAACTGATTGGAACATTTTGAGACAGATCCTAATTGGAATTTTGATTTTAATGTTCCTTTTAATGGCATAGAATGCTCTTCTTGCTTCGTGTCTCAGCTCGTTCACAGCCATTCGAGAAAGCTATCTATGTTGCTGAAATTTTGTCCTAGATACATGTAGTTTTTGGTGTGTTTTTAATAGAACTGTGTCCAAATATAATTTATATTTGTGATCCTGATATCCGGCAGAAATATTTTGCACATTTTACAGTGTGCATTCGGTTCAAGTCAGGGAGATACAACCATATTCTGTAGAATACCATAATATCTAGCCATAGCCAACAGACAATGCAAATGCCACAGCAACTCCTGGCACAGGAAACCTCAGCTCCAGGCCAAGGGCTCCCAGACAGGCTGAGAGAGTAAAATGTGCATTCTAATATTTGCCCAACATTGGAATGATATTCTAATATTATATATTTCCATAACCTAAATTATTCCATATGCGATGCCTAGCCAGCCGTATAATTTTTTCAAACCTGGACGTTTTACATAGCCTATCTTACCTTGTTTTTTAATAGCCTACAGCCAAGATCCCACCATAGAAAAAAAGCAATGATGTCCTGATATGCCGTTGAAACCTGCATTTCTTCTTCTACTGTCCAAAGGCAGTAAGGCAAAATCCTATTGTTGCATCCTATTGTTGCTCCCGAGTGGCGCAGCGGTCTAAGGCACTGCATCTCAGTGCTTGAGGCGTCACTACAGACCGAGTGGAGCAGCGGTCTAAGGCACTGCATCTCAGTGCTTGAGGCGTCACTACAGACCGGGTGGCGCAGCGGTCTAAGGCACTGCATCTCAGTGCTTGAGGCGTCACTACAGACCGAGTGGAGCAGCGGTCTAAGGAACTGCATCTCAGTGCTTGAGGCGTCACTACAGACCCCCCTGGTTCGATTCCAGGCTGTATCACAACCGGCCGTGATTGGGAGTCCCATAGTGCGGCGGCACAATTGGCCCAGCGTCGTCCGGGTTTGGCCGGTGTAGGACGTCATTGTAAAGAAGAATTTGTTCTTAAGTGACTTGCCTAGTTAAATAAAGGTTAAATAAAAAATAAATAAAAAAGATATTCCCTCTTTCTAAGTTTCTACCATTAGGCTTTATATCCATCTCTGTCGCATTATAAAAAATGCTTGCATCAGGTGAGCGTTTGAGCATGGTGTTCTCCCGTAATAGCATTTTGGAACAGATTGTTTTTTTTTCTTCTGTTTTGATCAATTCGATTGAATGAGTTAGTTCTGATTTATACCATATTAGCATTCCCCCTGAGTCTCTGCCCTGTGTGACTCCTTTTGATTTGGTGGATGGTACGATTACCTCCCTGTAACCCAGTGGCCAGCCAGTGGAAACGCCACCTCTGCACCATGTTTCCTGTACTACATTATCAACATCATCATCTTTCAGGAAGTCTGGGTTTCTTCTCTTTAGCCCGAAAGCCGAGGACTTCAAACCTTGTCAATTCCAACATGCAACGTAAAAAGGGTTCATTTGTGTTTTTTTTTTCTTTTTTTTATCTGTACTTTCAAAATTAGATAAACACTCACACTCCAACAGGAGCTGTTAAAACAGGATTTTAATGTAAACTATTTTTGTTTATCATTTAAGATACCATTTAATAATAATTTATACATTTTCTATAGTGCTTTTCATAGAATCTCAAAGCACTTCAAGAGCAAAAAAAAAAAAAAAAAAAAAAGAAATAGATCATGGCAGGTCCAGCAAAACAAATAGTGGGAGTACGCCGTACTGGTGAAATGTGAGCCTATCAAAATTAACACAAAAAGCCAAAACTAACTATTACATCATCATTTAACATATAGGCCACCAAATAGATGATTGTTGAGTTGTGACTGTCAGTGAAAAGCAGGGAGGCCCAGCCAGGCATTTCGCAATATTAAATATTATAATCACCGGAAAATTGTTCGGAAAGCAAATGGCTATTGCTGTAAAGAGATGACAATGAAAAGACTCCAGTCTGTCTTTTTAGTTGTCAAAATGTTCAACTTAATTGAGCGAACAGTAGCCTATCTTATTGGCACCAGCGGAGAACATCGGCCATATCCTGGGTGAGTGTGCCTTTATCATTGGGTCAGTACCATTGAGTTTTTTTGGGGACAATAATGTCCTCCTCCAGGTTAGAGAGACGTCATATAGTATTTGTGTCTCCCCTTTTCGTTTTATATGGATCAGACAACGTTGTTTTTATTTACTGATCTGTTTGTCAGTGTCAGCGGAGCAGGTTAACCTGTAATTTTTTGTCGTATTCAAAAAGATTCTGCTAATGTCTGCAGTCATGTAAAGTGTAGTAGAATGGTACCACTTTTTGAAATGTGTCTATTTAATTAAAGTTTATGCTAATTTCGAAAACTCACAAAAGCTCTGACGGAGGCCTTGCATAAAGGCCTTACATAAAGCTTCTTAAAGAGCAGTGATACTATATCAAGAGCAGTGTGCGGGTTTCTTCTTAAAAAAAATAATTAATCTTATTCAACTGTTACCGTGCACCTGCAAAAAAGATAGCTCAGATGTGTGAGTGCCTTTTGAATTCTGATATAGCCTCGGCCTTCTCTACGCCGCTACGCGCTGCATTGAGAATAATTTTTTTGCGAACAGTGATTGAGTTATATTATTAGCCTAAATTATGACTATCCAATCTACTCATCACTTTAGGAATAGTAGGCTATCTTCCATAAGTCTGCAAATGCGGTGATGCATGTAATGCTTTATTATAAAGGTGCATTTTTCTGGTGAGAATTAGCTTCGCCAAACTTGAAACTCACGCACCACCTATGGCTACAGAACCGCACTGCTAGCCAAACACAACAGTCTGGCTGGTGCCACCTGAATTAAAGGGTAACTTCACAAAAAAAATCTAGATTTCTCAGATTTTTCCCAGACCTAAAATATTGGCCCCTGATGTGGTTTAAGCATTGTTGTGAACTTAGAACATCCATGTTTTGTTTTTCAATAAAGAAAAGTATAATTTTGAGAGAAAAAAACCTGAGAAAAATCAGTCCTTCTCCCTGCTTCCTTTTTTTTGTGCCATTTTGGTATCAAGTATCATTTTTTTTCAAATTCTGCCCTCTAGAGGATTTAGAAAAAAGAACACATGGCAGTTTGAAATCTGGAATAAATACATGTTGCACTTTATTTTAACACTGGTCTTTGCTGTTACAGTAAATCTATCCAAATCGATTTAAGAACACAAGGGCATGCTAATTTAAAAGATGGCTACTCATTATTAGCCTGGTTCTGTATGGAATGCAGGGGATTATGGGACACAGGCCATTATCCAGAGCTGCCAAATATCACGCATTGGCCGTGAGACACACGCATTTGACCCTCATCTCACGCTCTCACGGCACACCTCTTATATCTCACGCATTCGCCGTGAGACACACGCATTTGACCCTCATCTCACGCTGTCACGGCACACCTCTTATATCTCACGCATTGGCCGTGAGACACACGCATTTGACCCTCATCTCACGCTCTCACGGCACACCTCTTATATCTCACGCATTGAAAAGTACTGCTTTTTTTGGGGGGGTCTAATTAGTCCATTGTATAGTCAGCGAGATAACTTTTCAACTGTGCTCCAAATCGTTTTGAAATCGGAGCATCTGCGCCTGCAATTTAACATCAGGAGCTGAACCTCTATCATTGTCCTGTGAAGCACTATGAACCACGGGGCACATTGAAGCGTATGATTGGTCTTGTTATTTAAGGGATTGAGGAGATTGGATGCGTGTTTTAAAGAAATGCCCCAAGATTAGAGTGGAGCTGAATGGAGAGAGAGAAAGTTCGCTGAGTTTATGAAACTATAAAAAGAGCAGCACGGTAGCACTGTTTTATGTACAGGTTGCTGTTACATTCAGTCCCTATTGCAGAATGCAGCCTTTTGACAGCATGTTCTGAAGTCTATTGAATTGCATTAGTCCCCTCGTTTGGCGATTGGCATTTAGGCATGTGACAATGAAAAGGCAACAACAGACAGATCTACAGTTCAGGGAAGTTTGGAAGAGTGACCTTATTTGTAACTATGAAAATAATTTTGTCAAATCGATTGTGAACCCAAAAGTGTACGTGTGATTTTAGAGGGGGGACAATACATAGAAAAATAATTGACTTAGTGTATAAGGGCAGATTTATATAATCTTGTCTTCAAGAGATTTTATTATCTATTTACTTTATTTAGTCTGATCAGTGGAACAATTCTCATTCTTGAATTTTGTAGGTGAAGCATGGTGGTGGCAGCATCATGCTGTGGGGATGTTTTTCAGTTCATCTCTGGAGAGACCTGAAAATAGCTGTGCAGTAACGCTCCCCATCCAACCTGACAGAGCTTGAGAGGATCTGCAGAGAAGAATGGGAGAAACTCCCCAAATACAGGTGTGCCAAGCTTGTACCGTCATACCCAAGAAGACTCGACGCTGTAATCGCTGCCAAAGGTGCTTCAACAAAGTACTGCGTAAAGGGTCTGATACCTATGTAAATGTGATATTTCAGTTTTGTATTTTTAATAAATTACCAAAAGTTTCAAAAAAACTGTTTTTGCTTTGTCATTATGGGGTATTGTGTGTAGATTGATGAGGGAAAAAATTAATTAATACATTTTAGAATAAGGCTGTAATGTAACAAAATGTGGAAAAAGTCAAGGGGTCTGAACACTTTCCGAAGGTACTGTAAACCACTTGAATATTGATATTCATTAGAATATGCGAGGTTGGTCGATTATGCGAAATTAGCCCTATTTTAAAGAGTGAGTTACAAATGACAAAATACAAAATGTTTGTGTACTTACCTTTTTAAAGCAGTCTATGAACAAGGAGACTAGAATCTCTACTGTATGATTTGGTTACCCACTGCCATCAAGCATAAACATTCAAATGTCCAGCGCAGACCGTTGGTGTAGTGGGAACACTCCCCAGCACGTGTTGCATACAACTTTCCACCTGAGAACAGGGATTAATCCCTTCTTCCAACCTTCCCACTGTTTCTAGCATTTGGCTCTCTTCCTATCTCATTTCATTACTGTCTTAATAAAGTGTCAGATCACCCCCAAAAAATATGTAAAAGTATATATATTAGCATACTTTAATTGTAATGCCCCAAAAAATCTCAAAGTAACAAAGTTGTTGAATTTTGAGTGTTCATTTAATGTTCAAAGCATCCTGAATAGATCTGACCTGTGGTTTTTATTTTTAAAAAAATCCAACATGGTCATAGCCCTGAACCATGCCAGATTACATAGAATTGTAGGAAATGAGCTTTAAAACAGTAAAATGTTCCTGGGGGAGGACCTCCAGGCCCCCCTCTAGTGGTTGTGCCTGGGGGCAATGAAGGTAGTAGCACCAGTGCCACCAGTGGTAAAAGTTAGTGTGGAACCCTGTACCTCTGGCTACCATTTTGCTAGCTAGCTCTTAGTTTAGCTGAACAACCAGCAAAAATAGTGCATTTATTTATTTATTTTATTTTTACTGAAGCTATGTGTGGAGTCCGTGCTCCTTTTTGGTTTACTCACTTAGTTTGGTAGTTTGATGTATTTGTATTAATGAACTCCCCTTGCTAGGTTTGTTCTAGCTCAATATGTTTTTCTGGCAAGCTGTAGGATGTTCACTCACTGCTCTAGAATCCTGGCTAGCTTCTCTTGTTGGCAAGGTTTTGGTTATGTTGCTATCTACGGAGAGTCAACTTCATTTGAGGCACAAAGCTACTTTTTTATCTATTCTGATTGAATAGTTGTTGTTCATTATTTCTTGTCTTTCATTATTTTTAGATTTGAGTGTTTATCTCTCTCTCTCTCTCTCTATCTCCCTCTCTGTGTGTTCTTTACATACATATCTTTCTTCCCTCTCTCTTTCACCCTCTCTCTATTCATTTCACTTTCCCTGGCGCTCCCTCTCATTGCCTTTCTGTGTTTCTCTCCCCCTCTCTGCGTCTCCCTCCTTCTCCTCTCTAGGTTTCTCTCCTTCCTTCTCCTCTCTAGGTTTCTCTCCCTGTCTCCCTCCCCTCTCTGGGTTTCTTTTCCTCTCTCCTTCTCCTCTCTGGGGTTCTTTTCCTCTCTCCTTCTCCTCTCTGGGTTTCTTTTCCTCTCTCCCTCTCCTCTCTGTGTTTATTTCCCTCTCCCCCTCTCCTCTCTGTGTTTCTTTTCCTCTCTCCCTCTCCTCTCTGTGTTTCTTTCCCTCGCCACTCTGGGTATCTCTGACCTCCAGACCTGGGTGGTGCGACGCTACGCACGCCACCGGAGAGGCCTGATAACACACGGCATATTATCAACAGGAAGTGAGCACATCACAGCTCCACTTCCTGTCAGGGCAAAGGTTGTCGCCAGGGCAGCCAAAGGTCAACTCTGTTGTGTTGCTGTGAGAGCAGAGCGGATGCAGCGGGAGGTTTCCAAACTGTGGGCAAAAAATAGAAATAAAACGTGTATTTATTTCTTGTGAGGAAGGCAAAATGCAAGATAGTGAGGTTAGGGTTTACTACTTAATGATCAAGCATGTAAGTATTCTTAGTAGACTGAATCAATCTCTGTGGCTGACTGAATACTTTTTTTCCCCACTGTATGTGTCTCTAATATGGTCATACATTTGGCAGGAGGTTAGGAAGTGCAGCTCAGTTTACACCTCATTTTGTGTGCAGTGCGCACATAGCCTGTCTTCTCTTGAGAGCCAGGTCTGCTTCTTCTCTCTCCTCTCTCATCTCTCTCTCTCCTCTCGTCCTCGTCGCTCTCCTCCTCTCTCTCTCTCTCTCATCTCCTCTCTCCTCCTCTCCTCGTCTTCTCTCTCATCTCCCTCTCTCCTCTCTCTCTCTCGTCTCCTCCTCCCTTCTTCTCTCTCTCTCTCTCTCTCTGTCTGTCCTGTCTGTCTGTGTCCTGTATAGCTGTCTGATCCTGAGTGATGAGCTGAACCATGCCTCTCTGGTCCTGGGAGCCAGGCTGTCTGGGTCCATCATCCGTGTCTTCAAACACAACAGTGAGTCCGGCCTTTATCCACCCCCCGCAACACCGTGTCCATTCCCTATCTCTGTCCCCCCCTGCAACACTGTGTCCATTCCCTATCTCTGTCCCCCCTGCAACACCGTGTCCATTCCCTATCTCTGTCCCCCCTGCAACACTGTGTCCATTCCCTATCTCTGTCCCCCCTGCAACACCGTGTCCATTCCCTATCTCTGTCCCCCCTGCAACACTGTGTCCATTCCCTATCTCTGTCCCCCCTGCAACACCGTGTCCATTCCCTATCTCTGTCCCCCCTGCAACACCGTGTCCATTCCCTATCTCTGTCCCCCCTGCAAACACCGTGTCCATTCCCTATCTCTGTCCCCCCTGCAACATTGTGTCTGTCCACTACCTCGGCACCCTCCATCCTTTGTTCATGTTCAACTACAATGGTGAGGCATATACCTCCCTTACATCTGTCCCACGTGCTACAATGGCTCCGTCCCATGTTTCTGCAGTGTATAGATCACCCTAAAGCCCTATAACTAGTCCATGAGAGGCATACACTACTTCGACAAGTTTGGGAACAACTGCACTGGTCTAGACAGTTCCGTTCCAGCAATGACATTTAGGGGAGTGTGTGTGTTGCGTGTGTGCTGTGTGTGTGTGCGCGTGCCTGTGTGTGTGTGTTGCGTGTGATGCTGTGTGTGTGCGTGCGCGCGTGCCTGTGTGTGTGTGCTCAGAATTCTAAACACCGGTCACAGCAGGTCATGAATATGTGTTTCCACCAGCTGGAAAGGTCGTCTCTATGGCAATTACCCTTTCTGATAATCTCCCTTTGATGGTCCAGGCAGACCATCTGAATAGAAAGCAGATTGTTTAATGAGAACTAGACCCTCTAACTGGATGGCAGACTTAAGCTGAATGTGTAATGATGAGTTTTGTTTGTCCTCAGTGGAGGATTTGGGTCACACACACACACACACACACACACACACACACACACAGCTAGAATGAACACTAACAAAGTTAGACAGTTAATTACCATAGTCTGAACCGTGTCTGAACTGTGGAGTGGTTGCAAAATGAGCACCTTAGTATTTTAGTATCACTGTCTGCAGAGCTTGTGTGTTAACGGTAATCTGGTCTCTGCCTGCTGGGGGATATGCGCTAACTCTGCTATCAGATAAGGGGAGTTTGTATATCAACTAAGATAAGAGAGATATGCAACATTGTTCTGTGGTCTCTTGTCAGATTTGAACTGCAGTATGTTCATGGTGATTTGTCTGCTGTGTAACTGTGAAACTGTGCTCGTTGGGTGTCTTGTCAGACATGGTGAGTCTGGAGAAGATGTTGAGAGACGCAATCGTCCATGGCCAGCCCAGAACACACCGGCCCTGGAAGAAGATCCTCATTCTGGTGGAAGGAATATACAGGTAGTGTACTGTACTCTAGGAGATTAACTGGTACTTTTCAATAAAGGTTGCTCCTTTTACCCTAGGTAGTATTTTATACCTACAGGATACTACAACACTGAGCTAACCTCTCCTCCCTCCTCTCCCTCCCTCCCACCTCCCCTCCCTCCCCCTATCCGACAAACGCCCCCCCAAGTACGAAGAACACAAAAGAAAAAGAAGAGACTACCCTCACCGCCCCCCACACCGAAGCCTCTCCTCTCCTCTCCATCCTTCCTCTTCTCTCTCCTCTCCTCTCCTCCTCCTCTCCTCCCCTCTCCTCTCCTCATCCTCTCTCTCCTCTTCCTCTCCCTCCTCTCCTCTCCTCTCTTCCCTCTCTCTCTCTCCTCTTCCCCCGCCAGCCCTACAGCCTTCTCCCCAGGATGGAAGGCAGTATAGTACGTCTACCTGAAGTCATAGCTCTGAAGAAGCGCTACAGGGCCTATCTGTACCTGGATGAGGCCCACAGTATTGGGGCTCTGGGGCCGGGGGGCCGAGGTGTGGTTGACTACTTTGGTCTGGACCCCAGAGACGTGGACGTGATGATGGGGACGTTCACCAAGAGCTTCGGAGCTGCGGGGGGCTACATCGGAGGCAGAAGGGTGAGGAGGAGAACATTGAAATATATAATAATATAATATGTCATTTAGCAGCACTTTCATCCAAAGCGACTGTCATGCATACATTTTATGTACGGGTGGTCCCATGAATCAAACCCACTATCCTGGCGTTGCATGCCCAATGCTCTACCAATTGAGCTACAGAGGACCACCAATCGATAAACATTGATTTAACTGTTTCAGGGTAGTTACAGATTAACGTTTCAGATACTGTAAATATACCAATATAGAAACATTACTGAAAACCATTTGAGCAACATTACACATTAACAGTACAGCGACAGGGAGGGAGGCGGGTGAGCAGCAACGGACGACACACATAACACTGATACAGTGCCTTCAGGAAGTATTCTCACCCCTTGACTTTTTCCACATTGTTGTGTTACAGCCTGAATTAGAAATGTATTCAATTGCGATTTTTGAGGTCTCTGGCCTACACACAATAGCCCATAATGTCAAAGTGGGATTATTTAGTTAATTTATTTGAACAAATTAATTACAAATTAAGAGTCAAAACGTATTCAAACCCTTTGTTATGGCAAACCAAAATAAGTTCAGGAGTAAAAATGTGCTTAGCAAGTCACATAATTTGAATGGACTACAATACTAGTGTTTAACATGATTTTTTGAATGACTACCTCATCTCTATAACCCACACATACATTTATCTGGAAGGTCCCTCAGTCGAGCAGTGAATGGTAAAAACAGATTCAACCACAATGACCAGGGAGTTTGTTATATACAGTATATATATATTTAAAAAGCACTGAATATCCCTTTGAGCATGGTGAAGTTATTAATACACTTTGGATAGTGTATCAATACACCCAGTCACTACAAAGATGCAGGTTTCCTTCCTAACTTGGTTGCCGGAGAGGAAGGAAACCTCTCAGGGATTTCACCATGTGTAGCGGAGGATTTGGACGGAGTCAGGCGCAGGAGGTGTAAATCACAGAATAATGGTTTATTCGGCCAATACAGCGGTTCGCATCAATGCGTAAAACAACTACAGTGTGACTTAACGGCGCACTGAGAAAAACAAAACACACGGGTGATAAAGTACATAATGCTCCACCGAGCTATCGACACCTCCACATAGAAACAATCACACACAAAGACATGGGGGGCAGAGGGAATACTTATACAGGGACTGATGAGGGGATATGAACTAGGTGTGTGTAAAAAACAAGACAAAACAAATGGAATGGAATGATGAGAAGAGGAGTGGCAGTGGCTAGAAGGCCGGTGACGCCGAACGCCGAAGCCTGCCCGAACAAGGAGAGGAGGCAGCTTCGGAGGAAGTCGTGACAGTACCCCCACCCCACCCCCCCCTGACGCGCAGCTCCATTAGCGCGCCGACACCAGCCTCGGGGACGGCCAGGAGGACACGAAGCAGGGCGTCCGGATGGCGACAGTGGAAATCCCGCAACAGGGATGGATCAAGGACATCCTTCACCGGGACCCAGCACCGCTCCTCCGGACCATACCCCTCCCACTCCACGAGGTACTGAAGGCCCCCCACCCGACGCCTCGAATCCAGGATGGAACGGACGGAGTACGCCGGGGCCCCCTCGATGTCCAGAGGGGGTGGAGGGACCTCCCGCACCTCAGACTCCTGGAGCGGACCAGCCACCACCGGCCTGAGGAGAGACACGTGAAACAAGGGTTAATACAGTAGTCAGGAGGCAGTAGCAACCTATACGTAACCTTGTTCACTCTCCTCAGGACTTTGAACGGCCCCACAAACCGCGGGCTCAGCTTCCGGCAGGGCAGGCGGAGGGGCAGGTTCCGGGTCGAGAGCCAGACGCGATCACCCGGTACAAAGACCGGGGCCTCACTTCGGTGGCGGTCAGCGTTGGCCTTCTGGCGATGCACGGCGCGCTGGAGGTGGACGTGGGCAGCGTTCCACGTCTCCTCCGTGCGCCAAAACCAGTCCTCCGTGCGCCGAAACCAGTCGACCACCGCAGGACCGGCTGATCGAGCCAGTGCCTCCACGCTGTCAGGGCTCTGACAACAGCCAACAGCCAACAGCTCCCAATCACCAACGTCATAGTTCTGCTCCGCCGGGCTGAGCTTCTTAGAGAAGAAGGCACGGGGCGGAGCTTGGGTGGTGTGCCCGAGCGTTGGGATAGGGTAGCACCTACCCCTACCTCGGACGCATCCACCTCCACTACGAACGGCAATGATGGATCGGGATGGGCCAGTACCGGGGCTGAGGTGAACAGAACCCTCAGGTTACTGAAAGCCCTGTCAGCATCAGCAGACCAGTGGAGCCTGGACGGCCCACCCTTCAACAGAGCGGTGATGGGAGCTGCGACCTTGCCAAAGCCCCGGATGAAACCTCCGATAGTAATAGGCAAAGCCAATGAAGTGCTTCACCTCCTATACCGTGGTTGGAGTCGGCCAATTACGCACGGCTGAAATGCGGTCTCCCTCCATCTCCACACCTGAGGTGGTAATGTGGTATCCGAGGAAGGAGATGGATTGTTGGAAGAACAGACACTTTTCTGCCTTGGCATACAGGTCATGCTCCAACAGTCGGCCCAGCACTCTGCGAACCAGGGACACATGATCGGCGCACGTAGCGGAATACACCGGGATGTCATCGATGTAGACCACCACACTGCGACCAAGCATGTCCCAAAACACCTAGTTCATAAAGGACTGGAAGGCTGATGGAGCATTCATCAAACCGTAAGGCATCACCAGGTATTCATAATGCCCCGTGGTTGTGCTGAATGCTGTCTTCCACTCGTCCCCTTCCCGGACACGCACCAGGTTGTACGCACTCCTGAGATCTAATTTCGTGTAGAAGCGCGCCCCATGCATTGATTCGATCACAGATTAAATGAGGGGTAGAGGATAACTATAGCGAATTATAGTGTTATTAAGAATGCGGACCCCCGTCTTTCTTCTTCACGAAAACGAAACTCAAGGAGGCGGGTGAAGTGGAGGGACGTATGAACCCCAGATGCAGGGATTCGGAGACCTATGTTTCCATAGCCTTCGTTTCCGCCTGCGACAGGGGATATACATGACTCCTGGGCGGCACAGCGTCTAACCGGTGGTTTATCGCGCAATCCCCCGCCCGATGGGGTCGAGTGTGTGATTCTGTTGTGGGTGATTTGGGCGGAGTCAGGCGCAGGAGGTGTAACTCACAGAATAATGGTTTATTCGGCCACTACAGCGGTTCGCATCAATGCGTAATACAACTACAGTGTGACTTAACGGCGCACTGAGAAAAACAAAACACACGGGTGATAAAGTACATAATGCTCCACCGAGCAATCGACACCTCCACATGGAAACAATCACACACAAAGACATGGTGGGCAGAGGGAATACTTATACAGGGACTGATGAGGGGATATGAACCAGGTGTGTGTAATAAACAAGACAAAACAAATGGAATGGAATGATGAGAAGAGGAGCGGCAGTGGATAGAAGACCGGTGACGACGAACGCCGAAGCCTGACCGAACAAGGAGAGGAGGCAGCTTCGGAGGAAGTCGTGACACCATGTGGCCAATGGTGACTTTAAAACAGTTGCAGAGTTTAATGGCTGTGATAGGAGAAAAACTGAGGATGGATCAACAACATTGTAGTTATTCCACAATACTAACCTAATTGACAGAGTGAAAATAAGGAAACCTGTACAGAATACAAAATATGCAAAAACATGCATCCTGTTTGCAATAAGCCATTAAAGTAAAACTGCAAAAAAAATGTAGCAAAGCAATTAACTTTTTGTCCTGAATACAAAGTGTTATGTTTGGGGTAAATACATTACAATACATTACTGAGTACCACTCTCCATATTTTAAAGCATAGTGGTGGCTGCATCATGTTATGAGTATGCTTGTAATCGTTAAGGACTGGGGAGTTTTTCAGGATAAAAAATAAATGAAATGGAGCTAAGCACAGGCAAAATACTAGAGGAAAACCTGGTTCAGTCTGCTTTCCACCAGACACTGAGAGATGAATTCACCTTTCAGCAGGACAATAACCTAAAACACAAGGCCAAATCTACACTGCAGTTGCTTACCAAGAAGACAGTGAATGTTCCTGAGTGTCCAAGTTACAGTTTTGTCTTAAATCTACTTGAAAATATATGGCAAGACCTGAAAATGGTTGTCTAGCAATGATCAACAACCAATTTGTCAGCGCTTGAAAATTTTTGCAAATAATAATGTTTCACAATCCAGGTGTGGAAAGCTCTTAGAGACTTAACCAGAAAGACTCACGGCTGAAATGCTGCCAAAGGTGCTTATACAAAGTATTGACTCATGGGTGTAAATAATTATGTAAATATTTAATCCATTTTGAATTCAGGATGTAACACAACAAAAATGTGGAATAAGTCAAGGGGTATAAATACTTTCTGAAGGCACTGTAAAACATCTACAGATAACACATCTTCAGATAACACATCTACAGATAACACATCTACAGATAAAACATCTACAGATAAAACATCTACAGATAACACATCTACAGATAAAACATCTACAGATAACACATCTACAGATAACACATCTACAGATAACACATCTACAGATAACACATCTTCAGATAACACATCTACAGATAACACATCTACAGATAAAACATCTACAGATAACACATCTACAGATAACACATCTACAGATAACACATCTACAGATAACACATCTTCAGATAACACATCTACAGATAACACATCTACAGATAAAACATCTACAGATAACACATCTACAGATAAAACATCTACAGATAACACATCTACAGATAACACATCTACAGATAACACATCTTCAGATAACACATCTACTTTAATGCTGTGTCTGAAATCAGAAATTGATACTTAGTGTTGCAAATATACTAACCTCGGGATCGACAATCACATTCTGTTGTGTTCTATTTTGTCCTCTTCTGTCTGTTCTGTTCTAGGAGCTGATAGAGTACCTGCGGTCCCACTCTCACAGTGCGGTGTACGCTGCGTCCATGTCATCTCCCGTCGTGGAGCAGATCATCACCTCCATGAAGTGCATTATGGGGGAGGACGGGACGGCGATAGGTGAGTCTGACACGTAGAAACGCTGTAGATAGAATGGGAAAGGTGCTATTTTCCACACAAACTGATGCAACTGAATGCTATTTTGAAGACATTGCATTGTAAAAAAATAAAATAAGGTGTTTGGTCTGGGGTTGGTACAGTGGTTTTCTATTGGTTCATACCAGCTATCACCACAAGGGGGCTGTAGAAGCTTATGTGAGACTGGAGCAACAGCAGTTTACAGCAGTTTTGGGTCAGAATACTCACTCTCAACAGGCATACTTAGTTTCTGGACAGAAAGACAGTGGGGTTCTGGTTTACTGACTGTGTGTGAGGTAATCAGTGTGCTATGGTGGTGGAAAGGTACTGTACACAGTGGTCCCATGTAGCTCAGTTGATAGAGCATGGTGTTTGCAACGCTAGGGTTGTGGGTTCGATTCCCACAGGGGGGCCAGTATGAAAAAAAAATATATATGTATGCACTCACTAACTGTAAGTTGCTCTGGATAAGAGCGTCTGCTAAATGAATAATATGTAAATGTACATGTTATACAGAGGCTTGTGAACGCTCTGGCGATACAGAAGGCCATTCATTAATCTATAGTGCCATCTGGTGGCTTCTGACCGCATGTGAAATGTCTTTCAAAACGGAATGGAATGAAGGAGGGTGCAATCCTCAGCTTGCTCTAGGCAAAGTCAGAAGGAGACTGATTTAATTTAGGCTAGCTACCTGCAGTATTGGTCATGTCTGCAGACTCTCACACAGACACAGACATAGACACACACACACCATGCCACTACATCACGGCAGGACAACAACAAAGCAGTTGCTCTTGCCTTGTCCGTCCCAGGTGAAGTTGTGAGTGTGTTTCCTATGACTAACTCTGCTGTAACTTGGCCTTCCTCAAGGTTGTCCACATCATCTCAATACATCTGATCTGATACACAATCTTCTGCCAGGGAAGCCTGCCCTTACTGCAGCCACAGGAGGATGATGACTGCTGATCCTACATACTTTCTCCTCCTTTTTTCCATCCTTCGTTCACTGAATATAGAGAGCTGGTTCCCCTCCCAACCTCTTCCTTTGAGTGACAGCTGAGCTGTCCATACCTGGCTCCCCTCCCTGCCTCTTCCTTTGAGTGACAGCTGAGCTGTCCATACCTGGCTCCCCTCCCAACCTCTTCCTTTGAGTGACAGCAGAGCTGTCCATACCTGGCTCCCCTCCCAACCTCTTCCTTTGAGTGACAGCTGAGCTGTCCATACCTGGCTCCCCTCCCTGCCTCTTCCTTTGAGTGACAGCTGAGCTGTCCATACCTGGCTCCCCTCCCAACCTCTTCCTTTGAGTGACAGCAGAGCTGTCCATACCTGGCTCCCCTCCCAACCTCTTCCTTTAAGTGACAGCAGAGCTGTCCATACCTGGCTCCCCTCCCAACCTCTTCCTTTGACTGACAGATGAGCTGTCCATACCTGGCTCCCCTCCCTGCCTCTTCCTTTGAGTGACAGCTGAGCTGTCCATACCTGGCTCCCCTCCCAACCTCTTCCTTTGAGTGACAGCAGAGCTGTCCATACCTGGCTACCCTCCCAACCTCTTCCTTTGAGTGGACAGATGAGCTGTCCATACCTGGCTCCCCTCCTTGCCTCTTCCTTTGAGTGACAGCTGAGCTGTCCATACCTGGCTCCCCTCCCAACCTCTTCCTTTGAGTGACAGATGAGCTGTCCATACCTGGCTCCCCTCCCTGCCTCTTCCTTTGAGTGACAGCTGAGCTGTCCATACCTGGCTCCCCTCCCAACCTCTTCCTTGAGTGACAGCAGAGCTGTCCATACCATGGCTCCCCTCCCAACCTCTTCCTTTGAGTGACAGCTGAGCTGTCCATACCTGGCTCCCCTCCCCTGCCTCTTCCTTTGAGTGACAGCTGAGCTGTCCATACCTGGCTCCCCTCCCAACCTCTCCTTTGAGTGACAGCAGAGCTGTCCCATACCTGGCTCCCCTCCCAACCTCTTCCTTTGAGTGACAGCAGAGCTGTCCATACCTGGCTCCCCTCCCAACCTCTTCCTTTGAGTGACAGATGAGCTGTCCATACCTGGCTCCCCTCCCTGCCTCTTCCTTTGAGTGACAGCTGAGCTGTCCATACCTGGCTCCCCTCCCAACCTCTTCCTTTGAGTGACAGCAGAGCTGTCCATACCTGGCTCCCCTCCCAACCTCTTCCTTTGAGTGACAAGATGAGCTGTCCATACCTGGCTCCCCTCCCTGCCTCTTCCTTTGAGTGACAGCTGAGCTGTCCATACCTGGCTCCCCTCCCAACCTCTCCTTTGAGTGACAGATGAGCTGTCCATACCTGGCTCCCTCCCTGCCTCTTCCTTGAGGACAGCTGAGCTGTCCATACCTGGCTCCCCTCCCAACCTCTTCCTTTGAGTGACAGCAAGAGCTGTCCATACCTGGCTCCCCTCCCAACCTCTTCCTTTGAGTGACAGATGAGCTGTCCATACCCGGCTCCCCTCCCTGCCTCTTCCTTTGAGTGACAGCTGAGCTGTCCATACTGGCTCCCCTCCCAACCTCTTCTTTGAGTGACAGCTGAGCTGTCCATACCTGGCTCTCCTCCTGCCTCTTCCTTTGAGTGACAGTGAGTGTCCATACCTGGCTCCCCTCCAACCTCTTCCTTGAGTGACAGCAGAGCTGTCCATAAACCCGGCTCCCCTCCCAACCTCTTCCTTTGAGTGACAGATGAGCTGTCCAACCTGGCTCTCCTCCCAACCTTTCCTTTGAGTGACAGCTGAGCTGTCCATACCCTGGCTCCCCTCCCAACCTCTTCCTTTGATTAAACAGCTGAGCTGTCCGTACCTGGCTCTCCTCCCTGCCTTTCCTTGAGTGACAGCTGAGCTGTCCATACCTGGCTCCCCTCCCAACCTCTTCCTTTGAGTGACAGCTGAGCTGGTCCATACCTGGCTCCCCTCCCAACCTCTTCCTTTGAGTGACAGCTGAGCTGTCCATATCTGTCTCTCCTCCCCGCCTCTTCCTTTGATTGACAGATGAGCTGTCCATACCTGTCTCTCCTCCCCGCCTCTTCCTTTGATTGACAGATGAGCTGTCTATACCTGTCTCTCCTCCCCCGCCTCTTCCTTTGATTGACGATGAGCTGTCCATACCTGTCTCTCCTCCTCGCCTCTTCCTTTGATTGACAGATGAGCTGTCCATACCTGTCTCTCTTCCCCGCCTCTTCCTTTGATTGCCAGAAGAGCTGTCCATACCTCATCTCTCATTGACATCATGTATGATGAAATTATGATTGTGACCACAGTGACAGACAGTCATGTGTTTAGCATAATTATGTGCTAATGGCATGTTTAATGATCGCTGTGTGTGGCAACTGGGTCAATCTGTTCTGTCGTCGATTGTACTGTATATAGGCAGCCGGAAATCCTGTGGTTCCCCATGGGTACCGACACCCTCTAAACCCCCCATCAGGGTGGTCCTTCTCTGGGCTAGAGGGAGGCGCTTGCCCCCTCCCCTGGATGTCACAACAAATACTCTGTTAGAGCAGAATCTGAAATAGAGAGATGTGCGTGTAACTCAAACTTTCACAGAAATTATCAAATCAGTGTAGAATTTGCGTAACAATTAGTCACATGCCCATATCTCAGTGAGAATCAGTGATTGAGAATGAGGAATCAGTTGGTAATGAGAATTGAGAATAAAGAATGAAGAGCGATTCAATGAGAGAATAAAGAATCAGAAGAAGTGATCGAATGAGACATTCTCCTCTGTTCTCATCCTGTATGTGGTTTTCAGACTTCATCTTGGCCTGTTAGAGGTGAAGTTAAATCCATCAACGCTTGGTTCTCACTCAACCTTCCAGGCTCTGTCGTAGCCGGCCGCGACCGGGAGACCCATGGGGCGGCGCACAATTGGCCCGGCGTCGTCCAGGGTAGGGGAGGGAATGGCCGGCAGGGATGTAGCTCAGTTGGTAGAGCATGGCGTTTGCAACGCAGGGTTTGTGGGTTCGATTCCCACGGGGGGCCAGTATGAAAAAATATATATATAATAATAATAATGTATGCACTCACTAACTGTAAGTCGCTCTGGATAAGAGCGTCTGCTAAATGACTAAAATGTAAATGTAAATGTTAATCTCCAAAGACAAAACGCTGTGAGATTTAACAGATTAAGTTCATGGGGAAACATCAAAAGATTCAAAACACTTTTCTCTCCTCTGTGTAACACAGATAAATAACCCTACACTATGTGGTAACAGGGCTTTTTATGTACACGCATGTACGCCAACACACACACACACACATATACACACACACACACTCACGCATGCACACACACACAACACAGACACACGCACGCATGCACACACACACACACACACACACCACACACACACAGTCTACGGTGTGATATGTATTCCAGCCACCATATATCTATCTCCAGCGTGCCTAGTCAGGCAGTAATACAGTAGAGTTATAAACCCTGGAGTTGCAGGCCTGTAAAGCGGCCTTTAAATGTGAAAACACTGGCTCAGACCTTTGGGCCAAACGCAGTCATTATTCACGGCTAGCCTTGGCCTTATCAGGACCACAGACCAGGGCAGTGTTCATGAGGTTTGCAACGAGAAAAAAAAAATATTTCTTATTGTACAAATTCAGGTACTACCTCCCGTTTTCTTCCTATAGACGACCCGGGCCTGGTTGTAGCCAGCCAGTCTAATGAAGACGACCCAGGGCCTGGTCTGTAGCCAGCCAGTCTAATGAAGACGACCCAGGGCCTGGTCTTTTAGCCAGCCAGTCTAATGAAGACGACCAGGGCCTGGTCTATAGCCAGCCAAGTCTAATGAAGAGACCCAGGGCCTGGTCTAAGCCAGCCAGTCTAATGAAGACGACCACAGGCCTGGTCTATAGCCAGCCAGTCTAATGAAGACGACCCAGGGCTCTGGTCTATAGCCAGCCAGTCTAATGAAGACGACCCAGGGCCTGGTCTATAGCCAGCCAGTCTAATGAAGACGACCCAGGGGCACTGGTCTATAGCAGCCAGTCT